ACTTTAATTTTGAGAATATCATTGGAGTTAAGATACTTTGGGCCTTTTCCGTAATTCAGTTTAGACTTCTCTGAAAGAATTTCGGAATTGTTCATCTTTCTGAAATAAGTAGACAGAATCTTGTAAAAAATGTCGGTTACCCCCTTAACCCGTGCTTCTGATAATGTGGTAAAGTTTATTGCCTCTTTTCATTTGCTAAATCCAGGTAACCGTACGGTTTTCAACCTCGAAAATCAGAGCACGGAACTTCAAGATTTATGGGGTAAAGTCAAAGACATTTGTGATAAGTGTATTGATTATTTTATGACTTTAGACGGTGCGACTACCGATGAAATTTCTTCTGCGGACTCCATATACCAATCGACGTGTCAGAACTACATTGATTGCTTGTCAGAAATTAATGCAAAGTTGCTGAGTTTGAGGTCGGTGAAATCTCCTCCAGCAACTCCCACAGTTATAAACGTTAGCACACCGCAAAGTAAACAGTAAATGCAAACTGGTTGTGCATCTAGTCGGCCTAATATGGGTCGTCCAATTCTGTCAATATGTCGAGTCACAGTTTAAATTTGTATTCTTTGTCTAACTCTAAAACTTACCGTGACACTCTGGATAAGTCGTCAGATCGTCTCAAAGATAAGTCGTCCTTATCGTTATGACCCGAGCTCGATTATTTCCTAACAGGGAGAATTCAGACGCTGGCCTGTTTGCGTGACATTCGAGGTATAGAGGATTCTAGACCAACTTCACGCAACGTTAAGGCTCACTTGGCGAAAACTTCGACTGATACTATGAAATCATACCCTAAACAACCTTGTGTATGCTGTCCAAATGAAAATCATGTTCTTATTCATGTTCTCGTTTCAAAACTAGTCATTGTAGAAGAGAACAATTTGCGTTTTTACTCTTTATCTAGATGCCATTCGTCAAATAGGTGTCCTAGTACACATACATGTAATATATCATGCTCCTTATTTATGTCCTCGTTTCAAAACATTGTCGTTCTATCAGAATCTACCCATTGTAAAAAAGTACAATCTGTGTTTTAACAGTTTATCTAGAGGTCATTCGTCAAATAGGTGTCCTAGTACACATACGTGTAATATATGCCGTGCAAGGCATCATACCCTGTTACATAAGCCAACTAGAACGGCGCCATCAAGTAGCAGTGTGTCCAACACAACTCCTTCGGCTCCCAGTACCCAATTGAGTTCAAATCTAGATAATGTTATAATGCAAACCCTACAACAATCAATCGCCAAAGTTTTTCTAGGTACTGCTATAGTAGATCTTCTTCAAGGGGGTATGTCTTATCCTGTGCTAGCCCTCATTGACCCTGCGTCAGAGGCTACTTTTATAACTGAGCACCTTCCAAAATCAAATTGTCTTGTCGCTCCACTCTCGCTAACATTTCTGGGATAAATGGTTCTTCTTCCGTCACCATTAAGTCGCCGGATTTTATTGCTGTTCCATTTTTCATTCGTTTTTCCAACGAATATTCATCAAAAACCAAGGTAAGTTTGTGCTTATATTATCCAAGTGAACGTCAATAGTGCATTTAAAATAAAAAGAAACACATTAAATTTCATTGCGTTAGTCAAAGTGTGTTTTGCCGTCGGCAATTTGGTTTTTCTTTTCCATCTAACGCACAGTGTTTCTATTTTGATTTCAAAAAGTATTAATTTTTTCCGTATACTTCGAGCCAATTAAAGTTCAATATTAAATATTCCCTTAAATCGCCACATATTTCTTAGATTATTTAATAAATAAAGTGAATAGATATTTCATTTATTACTTTATACTTTCAATTTTTTATAATATTAATTTCAATTTAATTTTCTTATTCACCTTTTTCCCAGCAGTGTGTTTTATTCTCATTTTCCCTTTTCGTTTTGCCGCGAAAATATTGCATTTTTTCAATTATCCATCGCCGTTTGTTGTTTTCATTATTATTGTTGTTGTAAGAGAACCCTCGCTGAATCTCTTCAACAACATTAATATTTACATACAGTCACACATACTTCCCACTCAGCCAAAACAAGCAGCGGTCTGTTGTGTTATTCAACAGTTATCGGTTATTTTCTGTTGGTGTTCTCTTCGCTTATTCGTGCACCCTACCGTCGTTCCGTTTATATGGTCGCACTTTACATAGTTTGCGACACATATTATTTTATACATTATTCGCACATATTCCGGTGGGACTATTCAACTACCTTTGTTTATGTTGGTATTTAGTTCATATTTTCGCCGCTAGGTGTCGTCTTTTATATAAGAAGATATCTGTAAAATAATTAATTTTCACTTTTTTTCTGACTTTTGGACAAACTGTCCTCATATTCGAAAAAAAATTAGTCATATACGTCCCGTTTCACAACACAATGACCCATGTTCATGTCCACTCTTCCTTCCACCTCTAACAGTAATTCCACTTTGAACACCAACTCTGTTCCATTCACTCTTAATTCCTCACAGTCCACTAGATCTGAGAACGGAGTTATTCTATCTTGCTTCTCTGCGAGTTCAAGGAGAGTTTTATTGGGGACTGCGTTTGTAAATGTACTGTACTTGGGAGTCTCTTATCCAGCACGTGTTCTGCTTGATTCTGGATCTCAGGGAACCTTTATCTCCGAAAGATTTTTCAATAAATTAAAACTTCCATATCAGCGTACGAATATGCAGATTTCCGGCCTTAATAATACCACTGCTGCCTCCGTTCGAAAATTTTGTTCCTTAAATCTATGTTCAAGATTTGATAACTCCGTACGTGTCTCGGTCCAGGCGTTTGTAGTTCCTCATTTATCTGGAAACCTTCTGTCGCATACTTTGCCACCTTCACTGTTTCCTCGGCTCAAAACCGCTCTAGTATCAGCTGGCTTCTCCCTTGGAAAATGGACAGCGAACTCAATGGATATTCACAGCAAAAACCCTAGGAATTCGTTGGAACGCTCGTTCAGATTCATATTTTTTGCGACAACGCTTTTTCCATCTTCGTGTTCCTACACAAAAAGGAATTCTGTCTCAGATCTCCGAATTATTTGATCCTACTGGCTGGCTTTCGCCATGTATTCTTGTGGCAAAAATAATAATTCAGAATATTTGTTTCGATGGTACTGGTTGGGACGAAGTCATAAGTCCAGCCACCTTGCATCAGTGAAAAAGGTTTTAATCCGACTATTTAATTCTTGATCGAGTCGGAATTCCGAGATGGCTCCAATATGTCCCTTTTGCTGAAGTTCATTTTCATGGATTCTGCGATGCTTCTGAAAAAAGTGAAGACGCTGTCTATTCCAAAAAACTTCTTAAGAATAAAAATAATATATCGGCACAGCTTTACAACCGACTGGTGGAGCAAAGTATCAATACATCATACAAAACTACCATGCAAGAAACAGCAAACGCATTTTTATCAACTGTCCACCCAAACAATGTTTATACAACTGGAAACAACATTTATCGAGTGTCATCAATAAATCATCATGTTGGTGTAGTCATTGGAAATCAAATCATTAACGACATAAGTCGGGGCTCTAGTGTACCCTACATTTGGCCGCTAAGCATCTGAACTACCAATACGATTTATTAATTTTTGGGAAAAATAATAATAATAATAATAATATATAGTGGTGATTGTAACTCGTATACCCTACTATCGGTACGAACTGAAATATTAATTATTGTTATTATTTGCTGTTTTTTATTTTTTTTTGTTTTTTGCATTTTGGAATATTTATACAAATATTATATCGTTTTTACAATTTATTAATTTTTGGGAAAAATAATAATAATATATAGTGGTGATTGTAACTCGTATACCCTACTCTCGGTACGAACTGAAATATTAATTATTGTTATTATTTGCTGTTTTTTATTTTTTTTTTATTTTTTGCATTTTGGAATATTTATACAAATATTATATCGTTTTTGGAGTACTTCTCGAAATTTATTGCTTTTCTGACTCTACTTTTCTACACTTGATAACGATTTCAGCAGAAAATCCATGTGTTTCCCTACGTTTAGTTGGTTTCTTTTAATTTGTGGTTAGCCTCTCCAGAATATTAGTATTTCCACCTTTTTAAATTTGCACTTTAATTTTGAGAATATCATTGGAGTTAAGATACTTTGGGCCTTTTCCGTAATTCAGTTTAGACTTCTCTGAAAGAATTTCGGAATTGTTCATCTTTCTGAAATAAGTAGACAGAATCTTGTAAAAAATATCGGTTACCCCCTTAACCCGTGCTTCTGATAATGTGGTAAAGTTTATTGCCTCTTTTCATTTGCTAAATCCAGGTAACCGTACGGTTTTCAACCTCGAAAATCAGAGCACGGAACTTCAAGATTTATGGGGTAAAGTCAAAGACATTTGTGATAAGTGTATTGATTATTTTATGACTTTAGACGGTACGACTACCGATGAAATTTCTTCTGCGGACTCCATATACCAATCGACGTGTCAGAACTACATTGATTGCTTGTCAGAAATTAATGCAAAGTTGCTGAGTTTGAGGTCGGTGAAATCTCCTCCAGCAACTCCCACAGTTATAAACGTTAGCACACCGCAAAGTAAACAGTAAATGCAAACTGGTTGTGCATCTAGTCGGCCTAATATGGGTCGTCCAATTCTGTCAATATGTCGAGTCACAGTTTAAATTTGTATTCTTTGTCTAACTCTAAAACTTACCGTGACACTCTGGATAAGTCGTCAGATCGTCTCAAAGATAAGTCGTCCTTATCGTTATGACCCGAGCTCGATTATTTCCTAACAGGGAGAATTCAGACGCTGGCCTGTTTGCGTGACATTCGAGGTATAGAGGATTCTAGACCAACTTCACGCAACGTTAAGGCTCACTTGGCGAAAACTTCGACTGATACTATGAAATCATACCCTAAACAACCTTGTGTATGCTGTCCAAATGAAGATCATGTTCTTATTCATGTTCTCGTTTCAAAACTAGTCATTGTAGAAGAGAACAATTTGCGTTTTTACTCTTTATCTAGATGCCATTCGTCAAATAGGTGTCCTAATACACATACGTGTAATATATGCCGTGCAAGGCATCATACCCTGTTACATAAGCCAACTAGAACGGCGCCATCAAGTAGCAGTGTGTCCAACACAACTCCTTCGGCTCCCAGTACCCAATTGAGTTCAAATCTAGATAATGTTATAATGCAAACCCTACAACAATCAATCGCCAAAGTTTTTCTAGGTACTGCTATAGTAGATCTTCTTCAAGGGGGTATGTCTTATCCTGTGCTAGCCCTCATTGACCCTGCGTCAGAGGCTACTTTTATAACTGAGCACCTTCCAAAATCAAATTGTCTTGTCGCTCCACTCTCGCTAACATTTCTGGGATAAATGGTTCTTCTTCCGTCACCATTAAGTCGCCGGATTTTATTGCTGTTCCATTTTTCATTCGTTTTTCCAACGAATATTCATCAAAAACCAAGGTAAGTTTGTGCTTATATTATCCAAGTGAACGTCAATAGTGCATTTAAAATAAAAAGAAACACATTAAATTTCATTGCGTTAGTCAAAGTGTGTTTTGCCGTCGGCAATTTGGTTTTTCTTTTCCATCTAACGCACAGTGTTTCTATTTTGATTTCAAAAAGTATTAATTTTTTCCGTATACTTCGAGCCAATTAAAGTTCAATATTAAATATTCCCTTAAATCGCCACATATTTCTTAGATTATTTAATAAATAAAGTGAATAGATATTTCATTTATTACTTTATACTTTCAATTTTTTATAATATTAATTTCAATTTAATTTTCTTATTCACCTTTTTCTCAGCAGTGTGTTTTATTCTCATTTTCCCTTTTCGTTTTGCCGCGAAAATATTGCATTTTTTCAATTATCCATCGCCGTTTGTTGTTTTCATTATTATTGTTGTTGTAAGAGAACCCTCGCTGAATCTCTTCAACAACATCAATATTTACATACAGTCACACATACTTCCCACTCAGCCAAAACAAGCAGCGCTCTGTTGTGTTATTCAACAGTTATCGGTTATTTTCTGTTGGTGTTCTCTTCGCTTATTCGTGCACCCTACCGTCGTTCCGTTTATATGGTCGCACTTTACATAGTTTGCGACACATATTATTTTATACATTATTCGCACATATTCCGGTGGGACTATTCAACTACCTTTGTTTATGTTGGTATTTAGTTCATATTTTCGCCGCTAGGTGTCGTCTTTTATATAAGAAGATATCTGTAAAATAATTAATTTTCACTTTTTTTTTCTGACTTTTGGACAAACTGTCCTCATATTCGAAAAAAAATTAGTCATATACGTCCCGTTTCACAACACAATGACCCATGTTCATGTCCACTCTTCCTTCCACCTCTAACAGTAATTCCACTTTGAACACCAACACTGTTCCATTCACTCTTAATTCCTCACAGTCCACTAGATCTGAGAACGGAGTTATTCTATCTTGCTTCTCTGCGAGTTCAAGGAGAGTTTTATTGGGGACTGCGTTTGTAAATGTACTGTACTTGGGAGTCTCTTATCCAGCACGTGTTCTGCTTGATTCTGGATCTCAGGGAACCTTTATCTCCGAAAGATTTTTCAATAAATTAAAACTTCCATATCAGCGTACGAATATGCAGATTTCCGGCCTTAATAATACCACTGCTGCCTCCGTTCGAAAATTTTGTTCCTTAAATCTATGTTCAAGATTTGATAACTCCGTACGTGTCTCGGTCCAGGCGTTTGTAGTTCCTCATTTATCTGGAAACCTTCTGTCGCATACTTTGCCACCTTCACTGTTTCCTCGGCTCAAAACCGCTCTAGTATCAGCTGGCTTCTCCCTTGGAAAATGGACAGCGAACTCAATGGATATTCACAGCAAAAACCCTAGGAATTCGTTGGAACGCTCGTTCAGATTCATATTTTTTGCGACAACGCTTTTTCCATCTTCGTGTTCCTACACAAAAAGGAATTCTGTCTCAGATCTCCGAATTATTTGATCCTACTGGCTGGCTTTCGCCATGTATTCTTGTGGCAAAAATAATAATTCAGAATATTTGTTTCGATGGTACTGGTTGGGACGAAGTCATAAGTCCAGCCACCTTGCATCAGTGAAAAAGGTTTTAATCCGACTATTTAATTCTTGATCGAGTCGGAATTCCGAGATGGCTCCAATATGTCCCTTTTGCTGAAGTTCATTTTCATGGATTCTGCGATGCTTCTGAAAAAAGTGAAGACGCTGTCTATTCCAAAAAACTTCTTAAGAATAAAAATAATATATCGGCACAGCTTTACAACCGACTGGTGGAGCAAAGTATCAATACATCATACAAAACTACCATGCAAGAAACAGCAAACGCATTTTTATCAACTGTCCACCCAAACAATGTTTATACAACTGGAAACAACATTTATCGAGTGTCATCAATAAATCATCATGTTGGTGTAGTCATTGGAAATCAAATCATTAACGACATAAGTCGGGGCTCTAGTGTACCCTACATTTGGCCGCTAAGCATCTGAACTACCAATACAATTTATTAATTTTTGGGAAAAATAATAATAATAATATATAGTGGTGATTGTAACTCGTATACCCTACTATCGGTACGAACTGAAATATTAATTATTGTTATTATTTGCTGTTTTTTATTTTTTTTGTTTTTTGCATTTTGGAATATTTATACAAATATTATATCGTTTTTACAATTTATTAATTTTTGGGAAAAATAATAATAATATATAGTGGTGATTGTAACTCGTATACCCTACTATCGGTACGAACTGAAATATTAATTATTGTTATTATTTGCTGTTTTTTATTTTTTTTTTATTTTTTGCATTTTGGAATATTTATACAAATATTATATCGTTTTTGGAGTACTTCTCGAAATTTATTGCTTTTCTAACTCTACTTTTCTACACTTGATAACGATTTCAGCAGAAAATCCATGTGTTTCCCTACGTTTAGTTGGTTTCTTTTAATTTGTGGTTAGCCTCTCCAGAATATTAGTATTTCCACCTTTTTAAATTTGCACTTTAATTTTGAGAATATCATTGGAGTTAAGATACTTTGGGCCTTTTCCGTAATTCAGTTTAGACTTCTCTGAAAGAATTTCGGAATTGTTCATCTTTCTGAAATAAGTAGACAGAATCTTGTAAAAAATGTCGGTTACCCCCTTAACCCGTGCTTCTGATAATGTGGTAAAGTTTATTGCCTCTTTTCATTTGCTAAATCCAGGTAACCGTACGGTTTTCAACCTCGAAAATCAGAGCACGGAACTTCAAGATTTATGGGGTAAAGTCAAAGACATTTGTGATAAGTGTATTGATTATTTTATGACTTTAGACGGTGCGACTACCGATGAAATTTCTTCTGCGGACTCCATATACCAATCGACGTGTCAGAACTACATTGATTGCTTGTCAGAAATTAATGCAAAGTTGCTGAGTTTGAGGTCGGTGAAATCTCCTCCAGCAACTCCCACAGTTATAAACGTTAGCACACCGCAAAGTAAACAGTAAATGCAAACTGGTTGTGCATCTAGTCGGCCTAATATGGGTCGTCCAATTCTGTCAATATGTCGAGTCACAGTTTAAATTTGTATTCTTTGTCTAACTCTAAAACTTACCGTGACACTCTGGATAAGTCGTCAGATCGTCTCAAAGATAAGTCGTCCTTATCGTTATGACCCGAGCTCGATTATTTCCTAACAGGGAGAATTCAGACGCTGGCCTGTTTGCGTGACATTCGAGGTATAGAGGATTCTAGACCAACTTCACGCAACGTTAAGGTTCACTTGGCGAAAATTTCGACTGATACTATGAAATCATACCCTAAACAACCTTGTGTATGCTGTCCAAATGAAAATCATGTTCTTATTCATGTTCTCGTTTCAAAACTAGTCATTGTAGAAGAGAACAATTTGCGTTTTTACTCTTTATCTAGATACCATTCGTCAAATAGGTGTCCTAGTACACATACATGTAATATATCATGCTCCTTATTTATGTCCTCGTTTCAAAACATTGTCGTTCTATCAGAATCTACCCATTGTAAAAAAGTACAATCTGTGTTTTAACAGTTTATCTAGAGGTCATTCGTCAAATAGGTGTCCTAGTACACATACGTGTAATATATGCCGTGCAAGGCATCATACCCTGTTACATAAGCCAACTAGAACGGCGCCATCAAGTAGCAGTGTGTCCAACACAACTCCTTCGGCTCCCAGTACCCAATTGAGTTCAAATCTAGATAATGTTATAATGCAAACCCTACAACAATCAATCGCCAAAGTTTTTCTAGGTACTGCTATAGTAGATCTTCTTCAAGGGGGTATGTCTTATCCTGTGCTAGCCCTCATTGACCCTGCGTCAGAGGCTACTTTTATAACTGAGCACCTTCCAAAATCAAATTGTCTTGTCGCTCCACTCTCGCTAACATTTCTGGGATAAATGGTTCTTCTTCCGTCACCATTAAGTCGCCGGATTTTATTGCTGTTCCATTTTTCATTCGTTTTTCCAACGAATTTTCATCAAAAACCAAGGTAAGTTTGTGCTTATATTATCCAAGTGAACGTCAATAGTGCATTTAAAATAAAAAGAAACACATTAAATTTCATTGCGTTAGTCAAAGTGTGTTTTGCCGTCGGCAATTTGGTTTTTCTTTTCCATCTAACGCACAGTGTTTCTATTTTGATTTCAAAAAGTATTAATTTTTTCCGTATACTTCGAGCCAATTAAAGTTCAATATTAAATATTCCCTTAAATCGCCACATATTTCTTAGATTATTTAATAAATAAAGTGAATACTTTAATTTTTATAATATTAATTTCAATTTAATTTTCTTATTCACCTTTTGCTCAGCAGTGTGTTTTATTCTAATTTTCCCTTTTCGTTTTGCCGCGAAAATATTGCATTTTTTCAATTATCCATCGCCGTTTGTTGTTTTCATTATTATTGTTGTTGTAAGAGAACCCTCGCTGAATCTCTTCAACAACATCAATATTTACATACAGTCACACATACTTCCCACTCAGCCAAAACAAGCAGCGCTCTGTTGTGTTATTCAACAGTTATCGGTTATTTTCTGTTGGTGTTCTCTTCGCTTATTCGTGCACCCTACCGTCGTTCCGTTTATATGGTCGCACTTTACATAGTTTGCGACACATATTATTTTATACATTATTCGCACATATTCCGGTGGGACTATTCAACTACCTTTGTTTATGTTGGTATTTAGTTCATATTTTCGCCGCTAGGTGTCGTCTTTTATATAAGAAGATATCTGTAAAATAATTAATTTTCACTTTTTTTCTGACTTTTGGACAAACTGTCCTCATATTCGAAAAAAAATTAGTCATATACGTCCCGTTTCACAACACAATGACCCATGTTCATGTCCACTCTTCCTTCCACCTCTAACAGTAATTCCACTTTGAACACCAACTCTGTTCCATTCACTCTTAATTCCTCACAGTCCACTAGATCTGAGAACGGAGTTATTCTATCTTGCTTCTCTGCGAGTTCAAGGAGAGTTTTATTGGGGACTGCGTTTGTAAATGTACTGTACTTGGGAGTCTCTTATCCAGCACGTGTTCTGCTTGATTCTGGATCTCAGGGAACCTTTATCTCCGAAAGATTTTTCAATAAATTAAAACTTCCATATCAGCGTACGAATATGCAGATTTCCGGCCTTAATAATACCACTGCTGCCTCCGTTCGAAAATTTTGTTCCTTAAATCTATGTTCAAGATTTGATAACTCCGTACGTGTCTCGGTCCAGGCGTTTGTAGTTCCTCATTTATCTGGAAACCTTCTGTCGCATACTTTGCCACCTTCACTGTTTCCTCGGCTCAAAACCGCTCTAGTATCAGCTGGCTTCTCCCTTGGAAAATGGACAGCGAACTCAATGGATATTCACAGCAAAAACCCTAGGAATTCGTTGGAACGCTCGTTCAGATTCATATTTTTTGCGACAACGCTTTTTCCATCTTCGTGTTCCTACACAAAAAGGAATTCTGTCTCAGATCTCCGAATTATTTGATCCTACTGGCTGGCTTTCGCCATGTATTCTTGTGGCAAAAATAATAATTCAGAATATTTGTTTCGATGGTACTGGTTGGGACGAAGTCATAAGTCCAGCCACCTTGCATCAGTGAAAAAGGTTTTAATCCGACTATTTAATTCTTGATCGAGTCGGAATTCCGAGATGGCTCCAATATGTCCCTTTTGCTGAAGTTCATTTTCATGGATTCTGCGATGCTTCTGAAAAAAGTGAAGACGCTGTCTATTCCAAAAAACTTCTTAAGAATAAAAATAATATATCGGCACAGCTTTACAACCGACTGGTGGAGCAAAGTATCAATACATCATACAAAACTACCATGCAAGAAACAGCAAACGCATTTTTATCAACTGTCCACCCAAACAATTTTTATACAACTGGAAACCACATTTATCGAGTGTCATCAATAAATCATCATGTTGGTGTAGTCATTGGAAATCAAGTTTTGAATTTGAGATCAATGTTTTTCAACCCACTAGAATCTTCACTTCTCGGCATTTTTAAAACTGCAAGTTTAACAGTTTCTGAAACACCCTACGAACACTGTTGGAAATATATAGCTAAAATCTGTACTTTACGCAATAAAAACAATGAATTTGGATTTTTTCTAGTTATCCACTATGACTGAAGAGAATAACATAAACTTTAACAATATCTTTCTAAGCTCGGAACTCGTGCACAATACTTCAGAATGTCAAAATTTTACACAACCAAATCCTGAGGCATTAAAAAGTAAATACATATTCAAAAATATATTTACACACATGTTTTGAAATTTTTATACTTTATAATTTTTTGTTCTATTTATTTTTAGCGATAACGGAAGCCCTTGCTCAGACTATTGAACCCATGTTTTTGAGGCTAACGACTGAAGTAACTTCAATGCGGGAAGAAATAAATTCCCTACGGAATGAAGTGAAAGGTTTGAAGAAAGAAACATTATTGAAGTTCGTGATTCCTGATAACGCTTTTAAAGACTTGGATGATTTTTTAAAGTTCGAAAAACAGTTAGAGGATGATAAAAAATTTTTTTCTTTCGTTTGTAAGTTAAATAGAGAAACCGCTTCATAATTAGTTAATTAACCTTTCCAGTTAACCTCAATTTTTTCCTTTTTTTGTTATATTCAAAGGGAACAGAACTGTTGTATGTAGCAAAGGCAACGAACTTCACCAAAAACTGCTGGCGAAAATTTTTGACCGATCAAGTTGCGGAAAAGTTGTGTTGGAAAGGGACGGAAGATAAAAAGAGTGTGCGCAGTCTGAGTGTAACAAAAGCCATAAGAAGTATGTACATAACTGACTTTAACAATTTTACGCATTTAAGTTTAATTCCTTTTTTAATTATACAGATGCTATTGTCTCCGTTGGATTAAATGAAGAGGATTTTGTGAAAAGCACAAAATCATTTTTCCAATTTGCCAAAAATAGGATTGAGTCCAAAAAAAATATGCTAAATCCAAAAAATAGAAACAAAAAACTTTCTTTACAAGCCAAATTTATTTTTTTTATTAATTTATATATGTAGAAAACAATTGAAGTTCCTTTTATGTTTGAAGTAATGATCTCTTTAATTTAATCTAATCATCTAATTAATTCAACTAAACCAAATAAAAAATTATAAATTTACAAATAAAGCTGGAATGTGCGTCAACTAATTATTATCTTTCTAAGCTTGTTGTATACTATAGACTAGAAAGCTTACAAGAGGGTTCAATTTAGTTTATTGTATAATTGTTCCCAAGCGTATTACAATACTTTTCACAAACGTTTTCAAAGCTTACATTTTTAAGCTTATTTAAATCTTACATTTCTAAGCTTGTTCAAAGCTCACATTTCTAAGCTTGTTCACAGCTTACATTTCTAAGCTTGTTCAAAGCTTACATTTCTAAGCTTGTTAAAAGCTTACAATTTTAAGCTTGTTGTAAACTATAGACTAGCAAACTTATAACAGGGTTCAATTTTGTTTATTATATAATTGTTACCAAGCGTATTACTATAGTTTTTACAAACGTTTTCTAAGCTTAAGGCTTATGATAGTAAGTTTGTTAAAAGTCATTTATAAGAAGACACAAAAAGGGCGATAAGGGGGGTGAAAACTTTGTTTTTGCTACGCGGCTAAATACTTGTGTTCTCTTATTTGTTGATGCTGTTGCTGTTGTATTTTTATGTTAGAACATATTTTTTAACGGGTGAGAGAACATTTTTGTGATACAGAGCGTAACAATAGCGCTTTCACACATTTTATAACAGAGGGCTGTTTGTATAGTGCAGCAGAAGACACAAAAGGGACGAATGGGGGTGAAAACTTTGTTTTTGCTACGCGGCTAAATACTTGTGTTCTCTTATTTGTTGATGCTCTTGCGTGAAGAATGATCATACATATTTTTATGTTAGAACATATTTTTTAACGGGTGAGAGAAAATTTTTGTGATACCGAGCGTAACAATGGCTCTTTCACACATTTTATAACAGAGGACTGTTTGTATAGTGCAGCAGAAGACACAAAAGGGACGAATGGGGGTGAAAACTTTGTTTTTGCTGCGCGGCTAAATACTTGTGTTCTCTTATTTGTTGATGCTGTTGCGTGGAGAATGATGAAAATGTTTATAAGAATTTTAGTTTTATTTAATTCTTTGGTACCTCTTATATTGAGTTTACGATCTCGTCACTTGGGTAAACAAAGTTTGTTTTTTTTTGTCATAGAAGTTACTATACCCTCCACCTTCGAAAAGAGGGTATATTAACTTTGTCATTCCGTTTGTAACATCCCTAAATATTCGTCGTAGACCCCATAATGTATATATATATTCATAATCAGCAAATAATTCTAAGACGATTTAACGATGTCCGTCTGTCTGTCTGTTGAAATCACGATACAGCCCACATTATTTGACGTAGAACGTCAAAATTTAGCAGAATAATTTTTATTGTGTCTAGGATGGTTGGAATGAGATATATCGGTCCACGTTTTGGTATGGTCCCCACATAACGGTACCTCCCTATATTCGGTATTTTGATAATTTTTGCAAAATTTTTTGAAATGGATTTGTCTAGAAATTTTTTTTTGGTCATTGTGGGTTCTAGCTCCGGTGGCGAAACTTTGCATGTATAGGTCCACGTTTTTGTATGGCCCCCATATAACCTCCCGATATTCGGTATTTTGACGATTTTTACATTTTTCACGGATTTGTCTGAAAATTAGTATTTGTAGGTCATAATGGGTCCTAGTTCGTGCGCCGAAACATTGTATGTATAGGTCCACGATTTAGTATAGCCTCCATATAAAGGTATCTTGCGATATTCGGTATTTTGATGGTATTTGTCACATTTTATCGCGGATTTGTCAAAAAATTGGATTTTGTTGGTCATAATGAGTTCCAGCTCCCTTGGCGAAATATTGTATGTATATGTCCACGCTTTTGTATAGCTCTATATAGCGGTACCTCCCGATTTTCGGTATTTTCATGATTTTTGCCACATTTTCCCACGAATATGTCTAAAAATTGGTATTTGTGGGTCATTATTGGTCCTAGTATTACCATTACCCTAAGGTGGAGGGTATTAAAAGTTCGGCCCGGCTGAACTTAATGTTTTTTACTTGTTAAAATAACTTCTGTGGAGAATATCCCAGACACAAAACAAGGGTATCCCGAACGAACAAGCCAACACTTCTATATATATATATATATATATATATATATATATATATATATATATATATATATACATATATATATATATATATATATATATATATATATATATATATATATATATATATATATATATATTTGTATTGAAGTACATATATACTTACATCCAAACATATATGTAGTTGTATCCACGCATAACTTTACCTGCATCCAAGCATATACATATACTTGCATCTAAGCATATATTTACTTGTAGTACTCAAACATATTGTATGTTTGAGACTGTAGCAAAAATATACGTTTGCTGCAAAATATGTTTGGAGACTTATAGGGTAAGTGTACCAGTAGTCGGCACTTTTAGTATTTTCGATTCTTCAACCTTTCAACATTCTGAGTTAAATCTCTTAATTGCAGAAAAATAAAGTTGTTCAAATTCCAAATTTTGTTTAGTTTTCGAAATAATAAACAAAAATTGAATTTGTTTTTATTAAATTGGCAAAATTTGCAATTTTACTAAAATAGTAGTTTTTTTCCAGTAGTCGCACCATTTTCCAATGCTCGGCATGTCTATTTGCCAGTAGTCGGCATATGGTATTTCAGTAAAAAAAATATTGTTTTGTATATTTTTTTATTTAAAATAGTATAAAACAATGAATAACTCACAGTTTAATCTAGAATATGAAATTAATTTCGTTTTTAAATACTGTTTTATTTAATTATCATTCTAAACCAAATATAGGTAGAAAATCAAGAATAGTATGGTTACCTTCAGTAACGTATGGATTTTTAATTAAAATAAAAATGAGATTAAATAAAAAATGTACCTTTCTTATATTTGGAATTTGTGAATTGATCTTTTTCCTTTAGATAGGCAACAATTTTTTCAAAAATGTCACCGCTATCTAAAACGTCAAATAGCTGATTGAAAAAACCTACTTAATTTAGATAAGTTGGTCAAAAAGCACAAATAAAAGCAACAGCCGACTCAAAACTATTTTTTTATTTGAGTAGTTTTTGGATTATTTTTTAATGCTTTTCTCAAATTTTGGTGAAATTGGTCAAAAATGACATTTCTCTAGTAATTGGGAACCCCTGCCAACTACTGGAAAATCACATTTTTTCTGTTCCTAATGTCGGCATTAAATAATATAACAGAAAAATACTTGATTTGTATTTTTTTAAGTTATAAAATGATCTTTAGACTGTTATTTTCTATTATAAAATATTTCTGATTCCAAAAGTATTAAATTTAATTGACTTAAATTGATTATTAACTTGACGCCTTTCAATATGATGTGATGTAAAATATAGCAAAGACCTAAAATGGTAAAGACTAGACAAAATGCATTTTGAGCAAATGGTTTGTGTCTACAATACATAGAGTAACAGCTCATGCTAGAGGCATGTTGATAAAAAAACCACAAATACAGAAACCAAAGACAAATAAAAGTTTGAAAAAATCAAAAAATGTGGTTTCAAAATTTTATTCCATAGACCTTTCCAAAAATTTGCAATTGCCTTAGCGGTTTAAATCAGTTAACATTGGTAACTATGTTGTTATGATATCGTAACAACAGAGGTATTTTCATAGGCTTGCCATATTTTTACTCTGTCTTGTCCTATCTTTACACTTCTATGTCTTTGAATATAGGCGGTTAAGGGATCACTAGGTGTAAGAGAGGAATATGGTTGTTGTTGTTGTAGCAGTAGTACATGCAAGCATGGTACAATGAAGAGAAGGTAGGTCAACTTTGAAAAAATGCAAGTATAGAGGTCTACCTGTTTGGCTTGTAATGTCAGAGTTACTATCAAAACAATAAAAAAAGCAAACAACTTGTTACATTGATTTTGAATAAATAATTTAAAACCGCGAAAACTGAATGAATGGTCAAAATTTCTTTTCAATATCATGTTCTATTACTATCAAAACAATAAAAAAGCAAACAACTTGTTACATTGATTTTGAATAAATAATTTAAAAATGCGAAAACTAAATGAATGGTCAAAATTTCTTTTCAATATCATGTTCTATATATCTCTTATGGTTTATTTCGCGACAAAAACTGTAGATTTTGTCGATGCATTCGTTGCAATAAGCATTTTGAAAACACCCGAATTTGAATATTTTCTGAACATTTTTTTATTATTTAAAAGAAGACACACACATAAGCAAATGAAGTTGACATATTAAGCCAGAACAATAAAAAAAAAAATAAATAAATCATACGGTAGTTCTGCCCTACCTTGAATTCATTGTACCATGCTTCGACCCAAACATAATATGTTTGCAATCAAAAAATATATATTTGTTTGCAAGCAGGCCCAAATATATACATACTTGGATCCATGGTACAATGAAGAGAAAGT